AAGCAGCACAGTCATCAAATTTCAAGATCGAGATGTGCCCATCATTCCATCATTTGTATGCATCGGTCTTCTATGCCAAATTTGAATGGCGTCTGATGCGTCGAAGTTATTTTATTTCAAAGCCAAACAGCGTAAAAAGTTAAGGAGAAAAAAACGGAAAATAGACTGCCCTGCGACATCGACACTAGTGCTACGTGTTCGGTGTGATAAATTTCACAAATACCATCCTGAGTGACGATACCCTAGCAACGATGATGTCGACGTTCTCCGAGTGTGTTTGGAGCCAACTCCCGGCCATGCTATCACTAGTGGCTCTCCTAGCTGTGTTAAAGCGTGCGTGCAATAGATTATGACGCATCAACTGATTTGCGTTCTGCTCCACTGCATGTGAGTACGATCACTCAGAGCGACAATACGTGCCAGAAAGTCGGAGAACTGCTGCATAGTGAAAACCTGCACGTCCAGGTGCAGAAAAAGCGGAAAGTGCGTGCCCTTTCATGCCTTTCCAAGCCACGAACATCAATGCAGCCAGTGGGTTGACTTCGTACGTGCCGTTCGACAGAGGGACTGGACGTCTCTGAAGAACAGCCGCGTTTGCTCCCTTCACTTGGTGGCGAGCTGCTACAGGATAAATTCTGTGTTGGCGAACCAGTTGGGTTTCACTGGCAGTACGAGGCCCCTTCTCGAGGCCAGGTCTATTCCTACCGTGTGCCCTGCTGCAGGTGAAAGCAGCAATTTACACGCCAAATGTCTAGGACGTGAGGTGCGTAGTTGGTGTTCTTGAGTTCCGACATCACGGCCGGGACTGATAAATATATTGCATTTCACACGGAGCTTGTCAAGCAAAAATCATCGCGAATCGCAGTGATACCCAATTTCAGCTCACTGTCATCATCACTTGCCGATGTTGACCGCGAGGACGGCGAGGACTACGATGTTGGCAACAGAGGAATGTCTACGCTTTCAGAGACAGCTGGACTGACTGTAAGTACGCTTCTAGAAGATGAAACGGCAGCTTGATGTAACCATTTTTTGTGGAAGGGGCATCAGCTGTGCAGCTGCCTCGACGTGGCCACAAGGCAGCACTGCCAGCACTACAATTTGGCGGGCTTTCCATTCATTTTGAACAGTGTTCGATAGCGAGTATATTAATAAATATTACAGATAATCATAAGTCACTCAGATGCATTATAGGTCACAATCGCTACTATAGGAGTCCAAAGCTACTTGTTGGCGCAAAAATCTTGACATAAGTAAATTTGATGTCAGTGCTCCTTTAACGAAAAAAAAAATCATGTCATTGAGAATATCATTTTGCTCCATATTCAGGCACAATTAACACCACATTGTGCTCCAACTAAAAATCAGTTTTGCAGCTTAATTTAAAGCAAACAAATGGTTATTCTTATATGGCAAGTTTTACCATTTCATATTTTGTTTTAAGGAATAAAAATCAGTTTTGACATTATACAATGACTGCAATGGAGAACCTAAAAAATTGCTTCTCATTCTTGAAGCAAAAAAAAAAACATTTAGCAATGAAGCTCAACATTTAAGAAAACCTATTTGTTGGTTCTCAATTGAGGTCTAAACAGATTTTTAATTGGCACAAATATGGTGTAAATTGCATCTTGTTGTGGAGCAAAATGAGAAGTTTCTCAAATAAGCAAAATTCTTGCAAAACATACAAACTTAACACATCAGCAAGTATTTCTTTTTACGCAACTTCAGATGTGAGCAAGTATGTTCAAAGCAAATTATAACTTCCATAGGCTAAGAATTTATTACTCAGGTATTGATACGTAACGCAATACAGTAAATCCTCGTTAACTCCAAGTCGCATATCTTGAATTCTCGGTTAAGCTGAAACTTCTTTTGCCACGCATTAACCCACCATAGGTGCCGTGTATTTGCCCCCTCTTATCTCTAAATGTTGTTCGGAGGGGACAGCGTATATCTCGAAATCTCGACCAGGAGCGAGCAAGCAAAGTCCACTCCCAACAGAAAACGAGGGCATTGTGTAACGCTTAGCTCTTACTATGCGTGAGGAACGCGATCGTGAAAGATGAATTTGAAATCCCCACAGTCACAGCCATTTGTTATCCGCCTCGTTAGGCAACTATGGGAGTGATAATGTGTGTGCACCTGCGCGCGACTTTTGCGCTGTGTGCAGCAGGACGTCAGCACGTACATAAGCTAGCCCTTGCAGGTGCGAGGTGGCTGTGTGTGTTCCCAGCGATCTGCATGCGACAAATCTTCAGTGCGTGTCTGTGTAACAAACGCTTCTGAATATAGACCAAGATGTCCTGCCTAAAGGAATGCAAATCGCTAACGCTGAAGAGAAAAGTCGCTTTATCCAAGGACGTCAAAAAAGCATGTCGAAGCAAGTCGTGCATCACCAAATCATTCGGCGTCTCTTTGTCAACCCTCTCGACAGTGTTTAAGAACAAGCAAACGGCTTTGGAAAGCTTCGAGCAAGCTTCTCGAGCAAGCGGAAGCACATTCGAGCTTTCAAATTTTCGGATGTTGAAGCAGCACTTCTGTTGTGGCTCCACAACGTTCGAACAGCCAATCTTCCAATGATAACACAAGTGATGATGAAAAAAGCAGATGCTTTGGCACCCAAAATGGGTCACACGGACTTCAGCTGCAGGAATGGCTGATTCGAAAGGTTTTTCAAGAAAAGAAACATGTCATCAAAGCCTATCAACGGCGAAAGTGGCATTGTTGACGAGCAGGCTGCAGACGAATAGCGCAACCTACGCCTTGCCGCGCTACAAAATGGGTACATAGACGAAAACGTTTTTAATCACAATAAAGCCGCTCTTTTTATAACACGTTGCCTAACCGTACTTACACACCAAAAGGCGAAGAGTGCTTAGGTGCCAAGCAACGCAAGGACAGAATTATCATTCTTTTGGTGCCATCGCTACCGGCGATGAAAAGCTGCCCTTCCTCATAATTGGCAAGTCGCTGAATTCCAGGTGTTTTCAATATGCACGGCTCCCGATGGATGTGACCAACGGCACAAATAAAACGGCCTGAATGACGGCGGCACTTTTCAAAGAGCATGTCTGTGCACTTGACCGGAAGATGGCTAAGGACTGTCGGAAAGTGTTGTTTGCTGTGGGTAACCCCGGTCACGAAAAAATCGACAACTTGCCGGCTGTTGTGCTGGAATTCTTGCTGCCAAATATGACGTCCGTTCTCCAGCCTATGGATCACGGAGTCATTGAGATGGCCTGGAAATATTATAGAAAAAGCCTGCTGCATCGTATTCTGCTGCCATACGACAATGGGAAGAAGTATGAGATCAATCTGCTGTGTGGCCGAAGCCTGGCGCCAAGTATGCCCGCTGGAGATTGCCAGCTGCATCGCTCATGCCGGGTTTTCTCGAGCCCCGGCATCGATCGAAGAAGACATTGGCGTGGAATTCAGCGGCTGTGATGAGCTGTGCAGTGAAGTGCACAAGGCAACTGGCTGCGTGAGCGATATTGAAGACGGCGAGATTGCCTTTGAGGAGTACGCGCTCTACGAGGCGGACATCCCCGTTACCGGTATGCTGTCGGGCGCGGATATCGATGAGATGGTCGTGAACAATGCAGATGACCACACAAAAGGGGAAGAGCCCTGAGAAGTGCCTAGGACGACAAAAACACGTAACTTGCCAGTGCTTGCTCCACAATAAGATCGAAGGCAGCGGCAGCGACCAACGTCTCATGCGATGTGTTGAGCAACTAAAAAATGCATTTCTCGCACCAAACGCGAAACAGGTGAGCATCACGCACTTTTTTGGTCCTCGGTAATGAATTCTTTTTCTCTGCAAATTCTTGTGCCTTTACTACAGTAGCTCTCTCGTGCACTGGGGCGTTTCCCGACATTGCTGGCTTAAATTTTGCAGTGACCTGGGCAAACATTTTCAGCGTTTTGCTTAACTTGAAACACCGTTTATCTCGCAATTTTCCCCGGATTTGACGGCTTCTAGTTAAAAAAGAATCACTGTACTACAAGATGGCACAAAAATTGCAGTAATATTATTGAGCTATAAATACCTGACAAAAGCACTTTTGTTTAATATGTCAACCAACTATGGTATTGAAATGATTGTCTCAGAATAAATTTTTTGACAAACAACATTCGTATGACAAACTATCAAATTGAGATAGCGCCCATGCCACCAAAATAATTTTGCTCCAATGTATTGTGGTAATTCACTTTTTCAATGCAAGAAATCAGGACAATTCAAATTCATTTGAGATGGGTGTTGAAATGGTTGTCACACTTGGTGTGGAATGACCCAACATCTGGTGGGTGCTTCATAGTAACGATACTCCGAACTCTAACTGCAAAATTAGCATACCAAGTGCGAGAATATTGATGATGAATGCAGTCACTCACTATTTTATTATTTTTTACTGGCACAAGGCTGTAAGCACGTTCGAAAAATTGGACATTAAAAAACTAAATTCACCTTCAGAGCATACTTGGCTAGTTTTTACAATGCCAGCCATATAGAAAATTTACTTAGCGAACTGCATTCTTTCGGTGAAAATTACTGGAAGAAAAAATTTTCCCAACAAATACAAGAGCACATGATTTAATGGAGCTTGGCACGATCCAGTTTGCTATTAATGCAGCCGTTCAACCACCACTGGTCACTTTTAATGATACAGATAAGTGGCGTTTCAAGCCATTCAACTTTTGTTGGCCTGAACAACTCCTTTAGAGCATGGTAGATGCAGCTTTCTCAAATGCAGTTTAAACGCAGCAGGATTCACCTGTGAAGATAATTGGTGCACAAATAACATCACTGAACTTGAACAAAGCACTGGCCTTTTGTTCACCCAGTTCCTGCACTGTTTCATATGCAGTAAAGTGCACCAAGATATCTGGATCAGCAGTAAAGGACACACACCTGTCAGTCTACTGGGCACACATCCCACTAACACTGTACATGTCATTACAGTGTTAGCCCCAACGATAAGCAAAGGAAAACATACCTTGCCCTCGTCCTGCTGCCTCTCTCCTTTGAGACAATCCTCATCATCATCTTCCTCGTCAAGACATTCCTCTAGCTCATCTTCCAAGCCACGTGTGCCAGTGTTAATGCCACTATCATCATCTAGGTCACCCCTGTGTAATCGTGGATGCAATACAATTTCTCCATCAAAGTCCTCTTGATCAGAGTAAGGTTCGATGCGGCCTGGACTGTCTAAGGAGTCAGCGGTGACCCCATGACCATCTTCCAAATCAGGTGCCAGTGCCCCCCTCACCAGCTGTAGACACGGTACTTGAGAGGTCTCCATCCTCCTGGACAGCAGCAGATAAACATGTCATGAAGCTCTACACAGGCAAAAAAAAATGAGCTTGTGGGCAGCATTAAAGAGCCCCAGAACCAACTTTGAAAACTTTCTAAAATTTTAAGTAGACGCACACATTAGGTTAAGACATTGAGTTTAGAATGCCGTAATGATCAACAATGCGGCATGCTTCAGTGCTACAAGCTCTGGGTGCTCTGTATATTCTAACAAGCAGACTTTTCTTCTATCTAGGCTTTTTGGCAATCCTCAGCCCCGCGAGAATCAGCAGAGATGATGACACATTGCCTAATCATCATTAGATACCTACAACCGGCAAAAAAGTGTTTCATGCTTGCCGTAATGACAACAAGCATCGCTGACTGATGTTCCCACACTTAAATGCAAATATATACCCTATAAAGTGGCCGAAGGGATGATTGCCACCTTAGCTAGATGGTAGAGCATTTGATGTGTTATTCAAAGGACGCAGGTTCAATGCCTGCTGGTACCAACTTATCTTTTCGTCCACTTTTCTTTGTTCACATATACATTACCTCTAACCTTATCCCCTATACTTTCCAACACATCACTGTCCATCCTCATAAATTTTTTACCAATATTCATCATCGATGATGACTGTGAGGTTTAACGTCCCGAAACCACCATACGATTATGAGAGACACCGTAGTAGAGGGCTACGGTGTTTCTCATAATCATATGGTGGCCTTACCTCTGGGGGTAAGGCCGATGTTGACCGAACTGACAAACATCCTCTACCATGACACGTTGACGACGCCAATATTTCTGTCACGAAATTTTCTGAACGTGAAGCAGCGATTTCCGTCGATATTTCTATAACCGTCGACAATCATTCGACTACTGCACTCGTGGATACTGGCGCCATTTACTCCGTTATGAGTGATTGATTTGATTGACTGCGGGGTTTAACATCCCAAAACCACCATATGATTATGAGAGACGCAGTAGTGGAGGGCTCCGGAAATTTTGACCACCTGGGGTTTTTTAACGTGCACCCAAATCAGAGCACACCGGCGTACAGCATTATTGCCTCCATCGAAAATGCAGCTGCCGCAGCCAAGACTCGATCCCCCGACCTGCGGGTCAGCAGCCTAGTACTTTAGCCACTAGACCACTGTGGCGGGCCCAAATGTTCATCATCATCAGCCTCACTACGAATGAGGAATTATATAGACCCTAACAGACTATGTTTAAAACCATGCCAAGATGGTGCAGACACTTCAAGACAATGTCGCCTGTATTTTTTGCTTGTACCTTTCTACTTTATCAAGAGCTTTCTCACTGAAAGAGCTACATTTCTGTTATAATAAGTAGTATTTTACTAAAGAATATCATTTTCCTAATTAGGATCTCTTTACCTCGCAGGGCACCACAAATTTGATCAAGAAAATGTTACAAGAAGCAGTTTAGAAATACTTCCTACATCACATGTTTATCGATGCGGCCATTGAAACACACACGAAAACCCCTCCCACACTATTCTCACTTACATTTACATCCCAATTCTCATTGAGTGCGGGTAACAGATGAGTATAAAAGCTCTCAGCTACCCAATGTATCCTAAATTGAACCTACACTGTGAGGTTCTATATCCAATGAGCCCTCAAAAAAAAAAGAAACAATGATGGCGCAAGTCTCATCCACCCGCTCCAAACCACTGGTATGTTAGTGATAGTTTTAAAGGAGCCCTGACAGCAAAAGATTTGTTTGTGATATTTTTAGCAATTATTTATGTATTTATTCAAAATACCCTCAAGGTACAAATAAATTTTAGAGGGAGTGGGTCTACTTAACAAAAAAGAAAGAAAAAGAAAGCATAACAGTAAAGTTGGAGAATTAAAAAATTTCATAAAGGACATTAGAGAACATCAAATGAAGTAGATACAAGCAATGTAGAAGAAACAAACGAGCAATGTTGCAGTAGGCTGGATAAGACATTTTTAAATACAGTTGTATTAGTGATATCCGTTATTAAGGCAGGTAAACCGTTCCAATCTCCTGCTGTCCTAGGAACAAATGAGTTAAAGGCTGCAGTAGTAGACAAATATGATATGGGAACCTTATGATGATGATAAATTTGTGCGAACGAAATGGAGCTGGGTGTACAAACAAGGAATGAAGTGCGGGTTATGGTAGTTGTTAGGCATTACATCCACTACGAAACGCTGGCATCACCTATCGTGATGTTGTGCAACTATTAGCGGGTGAAGAGAGTGGCCGGAAGGAAAACGGAGAGGATGGTTGCGGCGAGCGCGAAGCGATTCACAATTCATCAGTTATGTAATCTCTTCGAATCGTTAATAAATCAGTTGTTTGTCGTTCAATCAGTCAAGTCATCGTTCGCATCAACCCCTGACAAGGCGACGAGGACTTAACAACGAACCTATAGTCGACGTAGAGCAGAAGACGAAGCGAGAAGAAAACACTGTACGTACCGAGGCCTAGCAACAGCAAGTGCAGCCAGTGACAACGACCAGTATGGAGACCGACCACACCGAAGTGAAAAACTCCCCGCTCATCGCGGATGAAGCGGCTTTTGGAACGAACGAGCTGAAGCTTACGACCCCTCAAGGTATTTTCGAAGACAGCATCTCTCCAAATTGCTTGACACGCACGAACGCCATCGAAAATTGAACTACGCCGAACGAAAACGCAAACAGAACAACGGACCTCGCGATGCTCAACACTACGTTGCAAATGATGGCGCGACTTCTCGAAAGGTAGTTGGGAACACCACCAGGCACATCGAACAACAACGCCACCAGTGATCAGCTGCAAATAACAACGACACCAGATCTCACGGGAACCCTGCCGACCTATTCGGGAACTGAATCAGACCACTTCGCTCGGTGGGAGACTGCCGTAGAATCAATGCGCGAGTGGTGCACATGGACTGAGGCAGCAACAATCAACGCAGGAATCTCGCGACTTAGGGGCCGCACAGCCCCTTGGCACCAAACTACTGGGCACCTGCACGCTGACTGGACATCATGGGTAATGGCATTAAAAACTGAATTTGACAAGCCTCTCCTGTTCTGTCAATGGGTCGCCTATGTCGACGCAAGAGCTCAACGAGAGAACGAAACTATGACAGACTATATATACGGAGCTGCACGGCTTCATTGCCCTGTGGCTCTATATTATATAAAATATTGAAGTATTATAAAAAATACCTGTTCAAACAAGCAATAATCATAAAATCATAACCCTCTATCAATTGCTCATCAATACCTCTGCAAGGGAACGTTGTCGCAATGAAGAGTAACGGCTTGGCTTGGCTTCAGATTCAGAACTTCCTACAGGGCCTCCCCTAGGTGTCACTGTAGTTGCTGTGCTCCTCTTCAAATCTGTGTTATCACCTTAAATGAAATGAATTCAATCATTATTATTTATGAAGCATTTCTGCACTAATATTGCTGGTGATGAAAAGTAAACGATACAAAGCTATTTTTATATTTGGAAAACTAAAGTTTTTCAAAAGCAAAACGCACATTGTGCACATGAAGCAAAGGCCATTTCTGAAGAGAAACATACGGTTTGAAGAAACATATTCCACAAGTTACAATATATAGCCAACATAAGTTCCATAATAAATGCAAAACAAGAAATGACTTTGATTTACATCAATAAACAGTAACAATCTAGGCAGCACTGTGGGATGAATAAATGCTGACATCTGAGATCTCATATTGCCACATCCTTATTTGTACCTGCTATGTGCAGACAAAGGCAATGAAGATAATTGATCTGGTAGCGCGAGTGTCTCTTCTAGTACAACACACAGGCTATGACTTCTATTTGTGTTGTCACCAGTGAAGCTAGGCACAAATATGGATGCACCATCATTATGGACAGAGACGCTTTATTAATTGAAATACTAAAGTATTTAAAGGCCAACTCCAGCGATTTTTCGACTATGTGAGGGTAATGGTGATTCTATGTCCCTGAGAAACTCTTGCCACGAGCCTAATAGCTGAAATAATAATAATAATAATAATAATAATAATAATAATAATAATAATAATAATAATAATAATAATTTCTCCTAAATACGTGGTACAATACTAATGCACAGAAACTTCGAAAATACTTTTAATAAGCAAGAAGGCAATATCAAAACCACACAAAGCTCACTGCCTACGTATGACATACCATTTGGTAAGAGCCGGAAGTGGTATACAGGTCCTGCCGGTGCGGAGTATGAAAACTGTGAAAGCCAGGTTGTGCGAACACTCGAGGGAGAGGCAAGCGCGCTGAGCAGAGCCAGCCGAATACCACAGGGTAAGAAAGCTTACCGTGCCAAACACTGCGACCGTTGCATTGTGACCAGGAGAGTAAACACAATTGGGGGAAAAGTTAGTGATGCCATCGGCTGCGTCATTTCCGTTGACATGCCAAACATGACGTCACACAGACACTGCTGCAAATAATTCTGGCAAGCCAGGTGAGCGCTTTGAGGTAATCTTTCAAATTTATTTGCAAATAATTAGCACATCTCTCAAGCATGTTTTTTGGTATAAATTACAGAAATATGCAAAGGAACATACACAGCAAACTTCATTCAGATCCATTGACCTGAAAAAATCGCCGGAGTTGGCCTTCAAATGTATTTGCATGATATGAAACTCACAATACATTCTAGCATGTACAAGCCAGATGATGCAGCCCCAACTTAGTTTTATACTCTGTCACTAGTGCCCAAACTGTCATAAAAAATAATTTAGGAAAGTGTACACAATGCAAACTCTCTTAAAATGGGCCATAAATCACCCCTCACACTTGGCGTGATAAACACCGTGAAATGAGACGGTTGTAATGTGACTTTAGTTTCAGTTACATTCTGTTCTTTGAACCCGAGAGGGCGCGTTGTGTATTTGTCTCTGTCCTGTATATATGTAGGTGTCCTGAGTAATAAAGGCTTCTTCGAGTCCATGTTTTGGACTGTTCATGGTCGCTCTACAGACACTACAATGGCTACGAGGTAAACTGCAAGTAATGCTGCTTCGCAACCGTTTCCAGGCTCCGCTCCGCAGATCTATTTTTTTCGCCAGTGTAACCAGGGTCCAGCTACATGAGCTGTTCTGGGTTGACCCCGCCACCGTCATTCCTGCTCAGCCCCGGCCGTCCAGCCCTGCCATGGGAACAGTGGCATCGCATCTTCGAGACTTGCGTGCTAGCTTCTTGAGCTACCGAATTTTCGCCGGAGCGACACAGAGCCATCCTCATTCACTGCCTTGAAACAAAGGGATAGCGCATTTTCAACACGCTACCAGCCGACGCAGCTACAACACCAACTACGTCTGCCGACGAGCCCGACGCAACTGGGACGCCAACTGCACCGAATGTCTATGACGTAGCAATCGCGGCGCTCGGGACACACTTCGCGTCAACCAGCAACGTCGTCGTAGAACGCCACCAATTCCATCGTCGATCGTCGGTACCAAAGTACAGGCGAGTCTGTTGCTGACTTTGTCGCGACGTTGCGGGAGCTCGCATATTTTTGTTCTTTTGTTTCTGAGGACGATGCTCTTTGAGACCAGTTTGTGGCCAGCGTTTCATCAAATTGTGTACGCGAGCATCTCCTACTTGAAGGTTGTGCGCTTTCATTCACTAGGGCAGTTTGAGCATGCGAGCGAAGAATTAAATGAGTTTTATGCTTCTGTACAGCCTGTTTTGAAACATTCACATACGCATGCTAAGCACTCATTGAAGAAAGGAAGTGCATGCCCGAAAGCAGAGGATAGTCCGTCAACACTTGATGGCGTCTCACTTGCGTCACAGAGTGGTCCTTCTCATTCACCGCATTGTTTTCATTGTGGCTGCCGGAACCACAACGCTTTGTGGTCTTGATGTCCAGCTCTAGGCCAGCGTTGCTTATTCTGCCAGTCGGAAAGGTCACCTTTAAGTGCGTTTGTAAACAGAAACGGCTTGCGCAAGCAGAGGTTCATGAGCTTAAGTGTGACGACGCTCCTTCGACACCCGATAATGCCGAGCAAGTTCTGGCCGTCCATCACTCGCCGCAGGATACGGTCAACACAAAATTGCAAATTTCTGATGTCACGTTGACACTTTTAGTGTATTCGGGCTCATCCGTTTCTATTCTCTCCGACGAAGTGTTCACTGACAGGTTCCCTAACGTGTCACTCTTACCTGCTCCCCACGTTTCCTTGCTTCATTATTCAAAACCTGCAATCTCTGTGTATGGCTGCTTCTGGGCCGACGTTATTTTCTAGGGTGGAGTGAGCAGCTCCTGTTCTATGTTGTCCATCAAGGTAATTCTTTGATTGGCCTTGATGGCATAAAGGCACTTAAGATACATATTGAAGGTGTGACATTGGAGTGCCTTCAAATGTCCATTTCTCCTACGAGAAGTGTAGTTGAGAATATGGCACACTTCGATGTTACTACAAAGGACACGCGGTGCAATTATAGAAGGCTTCCACCAGTTTAGAACGTGACTTTTCTGTGCTTTTCAATTCTGAGCTTGGCCTTGCTAAGGGATTCGTACACAAGTTAAGACACGTCCAGAAGTGGAGCCGATATCGTCGAAGCTTCGCCGTCTTCCCTTATCTATTTGGGCACAAGTGTGTGCCGAGCTTCACAGGCTCCTGGACCTCGACATCACAAAAGAGTGACGCTTCAGAATGGGTTTCTCCTATTGTCGTTGTTGCCAAGAAGGTTGACAGTATCAGATTATGTGTCGACCTTCATGAGCCAAATAAGGCCATTGTTCCTGACAGTTTTCTATTACCCCACACAGAGGAACTTCTTCCCGCCCTTGTAGGTGCTACCCATTTTTCTAAACTAGACTTGACCTCTCCATACCGTCAGGTTGTCTTGCACCCTGATAGCAAGGATCTCACTGCTTTCATTACCCATGAAGGACTGTTCCGGTTCAGAAGAGTGTGTTTTGGATTGGCTTCTGCCCCAGCAGCCTTCGAAAAGCTGATCGCAACAATTCTTGATGGCTGTTCAGGAGTCCTATTCTACATCGATGATGTAATTGTATTTGGAAAGACAGCCCATGAGCACCTTCTGAACCTGAAAGCTGTCCTTCAGAAGATTAAGACAGCAGGCTTGAAGCTATATAACAAATGTATTTTCGACGCTCGGAAGCTGACCTTCCCTGGGCATAAGGTGACTACCAATGGTATCGCGCCACTTCCGGAGACGGTAGATTCTTTCGTAAAAACGCCAGTGCCAACAAATATAGCCACCTTACGTTCGTTTCTTGGTTTGGTACAGTACTACATCATGTCTGTCCCTCGGTTGGCTCAGGTAGTGGAACCTATGAGACACTTACTATATTGAAATGAACCTTTTATTTCGTCAGCAGAAGCAGACAGAAGTTTCAAGAAAGTCAATGAGCTCCTTTTATCTAGAACAATACTGCATATGCTTGACCCAGCAATGCCGGTGATTGCGTCAACTGATGCATCTGACTGTGGGCTTATAGCAGTATTGCAGCAGAAAGATGGGCGTGAACTGCGCACGATAGATTTCGCATCCTGCACACTATCACCTACAGAATGAAAGTATTCGGTCGGTGAACGCGAAGCGCTTGCATGCATCTGGGAATGTGTAAAATGGCATACCTACCTTTGTATGTGCCAGTTCACACTTCAAAGTGACCATCAAGCATTGGTTTCTTTGCTGGCATCACAAGGATCAGGACGACGTCCACTTCACATTGCGCGCTGGGATGCTAGGTTCCTCCGCTACAATATTCTTGTCGAGTATGAAAAACAGTCGACGAACACTGTAGCAGGCGCTCTTTCTCGTCTACCAAGCCCTGCTCCAGAAGCTTAACTTGGGACAGATCATGACATTGTCTCACTTGTTGAGCCTGCTTGAATCTCTAAAGAAGAATTCAAGCAAGCTGTTTTTGGTGACGTATGCTTACAACAGGTCAAATCTTTTGTGATGAATTCTTGGCCACCAACATGCATTCGTGAGCAGATCAAGCCATTTTTCAACATGCGTGAAGAACTTTCAGTGGTCGATGACTTATTGTTGCGTGCAGAGCGGCTGGTCGTTCCTTCATCTCTTTCTGCCCAAATCATCGCCACCACGCATAAGACGCATCAGGGCATCACGCGCACGAAAGCAAGACCCCGCAAACAGTTTCTGGATGGCCTGGTATGGACAAAGAAGTCGAAACAGACGTAAAGAACTGTAGTGCGTGCTTGGAGGCAGATAAGTCTGTGAAAATGTCACCAGCCCACATGCAGCCCGTAGAATGACCTCAGCGACCATAGCAAAAACTTTGCATTGATATTGTGGGCCCCCTTGAACATGTGCCTCAGAACAACAGGTTCATAATCACGCTCGTGGATTATCTTTCAAAATGGCCCGAAGC